CAATGAAGCGGAATGACAGTCACATGATAACGCCCCCTCGACAGGAAGGGCGAGCTTGTTTGGTGGGACGGGGATTCGAACTCGCGACCCACAGATTGCGAGTCGAGTGCCCTAACCACCTGGCCATGCCGGGCCCCCGGAGTTAGTATTAAGGCCGTCAGGGTTAAACCACTTCTTATTTGTTTATCATACATGATATTAGTAGTTTCTGTTGAGGTTTCGTATCATGAAGTCGCAATCACGTGTACAAAGGAGATAATATGCAAGTTCTGAATGAATTTTAATGGTAAAAAACGAAAATATCACACCGAAGCAAATGTAAAATGTGGAGCCAAAGTAAAAAGTGTGATTTTTTTTTCTAAACAAATGATTTTTTATGTTAACATTTCTTTTCATTAGTGAAAAAGATCAACATCCTGACAAAATCAAACAACTCATCAGATAACGTGTGCCGTGAACAAATATTATCATATTTATTCTTTAGTCATTACTGTGTTGGAGTTGTGAAAGTTTTTGTTCGTAAATATCTATACTACAAATCCCGAAAACGTCCACCCATCATTATTACATCCGATTCGTATTGCGTTATTTTACATTCAGAAGGTGGGTGTTTTAGAAGCTCCCCCCTTCTTTAAATCGTTGGTCACAGGAACGCTGCCGAAACTAATTTTTGAAGCTACTTTTTTCGTGTCCATGACCCCTTATTCTTTCTGTGGGTTTTGGGTTCGAATCCTATCACCGAAAATGCTCGCCCTTTCAAAGGTGGGGGCGTTATGTTATTACGGTCAAGCCTACATTTCGTTGGTAAAAAGAGCAGCTCAAGAGTTGGCGATGGGTGGTGTTGATTAGCTGTCTTATCTCTGCTCTATCACTTCTAAATTAGGGACGGCAAGTGCAGATAACCCTCGAGAAGCTTTGCGCGAAATTCAAATAAATAAACAAAATCCACGTATACCAATATTTCTGTGTCAGGTTTAGTTAATCCCCTTGCATGCTTCCATATCTGTAAGTATGTATCTATCTGTTTATACCAAAACAAAAAAACTTATTATGGTTGTGCTCATATCTGCTCGTTTGCTGTAGGTGATCTGAGGGTGTTTTGCAGCGAAAGAAAAAATCAACTCTCTAGCTTCGTTGCTCAGGTTCTTTAGATTACTTGGTAAAATAAGATTAAGTCCAGTTCACGTAACGATATCAAAATTAATTAATTTATTCCTTAATGTTTGATACAGGCTACTTTCACTTCTTCACATTTGTTGGCCTAAGTTCACAAATAACGTTTTCTCTTTTAACAGAATGTCTTTGCAAATCGACTGATTAATTTAATAACCTACATAATACTATATGTGATCACTGGCTAATTTCTCTGTATTATCATTCACACCTCAAATCAATACTTCACATTGAATCATCACTCACAGCTTACTCGTATTTATACTAATATGCCTATCTAGATCTTAACCTCATGTGCCCTCTTACTAACATCTAAATTAAAACATTATAAACATAGCTCACAACAAGAAATAAAGGACTGGGCCTGCTCTCTTAAAATAGAGACCAAGTAGTAACCATGTCTACTTATCCAATATTCATTTATCCTAGCAATATTATATCAACATCTTTGTCAATCTAAACGTGCATTTCCTTTGCATCTGTATCATCATTTCTGTTTATCTGCTCGCGCGCACAACCCTTGGTACGGCCATGTATCCCAGTTCCTGGCACTTAGTTATCCATCTGTATAAATTCATTATATCATTATTTTTGCTTGTAAATGTATCTATTCATAACAGCATGCTCATATTTATGTGAATATGTAATATATATGTGTGTGTGTGTGGTGTGTATTTTCGTCTGTCATAAAGACGTCTCAATAACTGTAATTTTAAGACATTACACAATCCCAGTTATTCTGATATATAGCTAAAATTATCTACGCTATTTGCTAAATTATTTTTTCTGCTTATTTTGTTGTTGTTAATCACAAAGTTACACAATGGTTTATTTGTGTTTTGCCCACTGCGTGTATCGAAACTATTTTTAGCGTTATAAACCCTAAGACTTACTGTTGAGCCACCAAATGCTCCTAGTGAGCTTGCGTGGATTAACTATACTTAAAAGAAATAATAGTTATTCATTTAGCTGGCTTTTATCAGCCGTTAGGATCGACTTAGCATTTTTATCTCTTGATTTCAGTCGAGTTAGTAAACTGGTTGTCGTTTTGAAATCGAAAACTGGCGGTAGACTATTTATTTATTCAGGACAAGTTAATAGTTACTCAGTTTCCTCTTGTTCGGCGCTTTGTATAGAACTTGTAATGTAAAGCGTTTTTGTTTTGTTTTTTTAGTTATGTGGTTTTTGTTTGGAGAAATGAGAACGGTTATGACC